GCTGTCCCACCATCCCTCAGTCAGGCAAGCTGAGGACCCTCAGTTGGAAAGAAGGAGGGCCAGACACAAGCCTTATTTCAAAGGGTGAAAGAATAGACTAGACGTGGCGGCTGATTATAGGATGAGGGTAAGGGTTTTGCCAAAGATGACACTGAGATTTGACCCGGGCTGCGACATTCATTACAGGATATTAAAGGTGACATTACAGGTGACACACAGGAAGACAGAGGCAGATTTGGAGAGAGATTGCGAGTTCCTTTGAGCCTGCAGCTCTGTCGACACACAGGCTGAGGATGTTTGCCAGGGAGTTGGAAATAAGATCCTGGAGCTCAGGAGAGAAGCCAAGGTGAAGACACACGTGGTGGTGACAGTGTAAGATTAAAGCTGTAGGAATGAGGGTGCTGTTGGGGGGAGTTTAGAGAACAGAGGAGTGAGAACAGAACCTGAGAGAACATAAAATTCTAGGGAGCCAAATAAACTGAAAAGTGAGGTAAAGACAGACGGATAAGATTTATCTTCCCTGGCTGGATGCGGTGGCTCACTCCTGTCATCCTAGCACTCTGGGAGGCTGAGGCGAGTGGATTGCTTGAGTTCAAGAGTTTGAGACCAGGCTGAGCAAGCTCAAAACCTTGTCTCCAAAAAAATAAAAAAATAGCCAGTCACTGTGGCAGGCACCTGTAGTCCCAGCTATTCAAGAGGCTGAGGCAAAAGGATCGCTCAAGCCCAAGAGTTTGAGGTTGCTGTGAGCTGACACCACAACCCTCTAACCAGGGAGGCAGAATAGAACCAGGGCAGTACAGTGCAGTCGGAAGCCAAGAGAAGCCAGCATGACTTGGACAGGGTTTGGACATGAGGGTAGAACACTGCAGAGTTAGGGAAGGTCATTTGAGTTCACTGGGTCAAAGGTCCTTATACATTGAGCAGTGTCAATAGAAGGCATACTGTAGAGAATTTAGGAATGAGCAGTGAGAAGCACACGATGGGGGTAGGCATAGCTTTAGAGATACTTGTCAATGAAGGGAAGGAAAGGAACAGGCTAGCATTCTGAGAGGGTAACAAGATCAAAGAAAGTGAATTTTCTAAGCTCTTTAAGTAGCAGGGGGAGAAGAAGAAAGTGAATTTGTCCCAGCTACTCGGGAGGCTGAGGCAAGAGAATCACCTAAGCCTAAGAGCTGGAGGTTGCTGTGAGCTGTGATGCCACAGCACTCTACTGAGGGTGACAAAATGAGACTCTGTCTTTAAAAGAAAAAAGAAAGAAAAGAAAGTGAATTTGTTAGGATATAGACGCAACAGAGGAGCAAGTGGACAGGAGGAGCTGGTGTAAGTGGTGAGAGAGGATAAGAGATGGAGAAAGAGGATCCCAGAGAGATGAAGGAGGGAGAAAGGGAGGACCCGGACCGAAGGAAAAGGGGAGAACGAAGCCCCAGTTCCAGGCCAGGTGCTTGGCCCCAGAGGATTTCCAAGTTTATCTCTCAACAGCCCTGGAGGCAGGCGCCATTATCCTCATTTTACAGAGGAGGTGACTAAGACTCAGAGATGCTGCCCTGCTAGTGAGCAGGGGGAACGGGCTTCAACCTCAGTCTTACCCCAGAGTCCCCGGACCTTCCCTTCTACCACAAGGTTTAGTCCCTAAGAATGACAGACGCTCTGTCCTCCTGTCTCAGGAAGCTGGCAGCAGATCACCCGTTCCTGAAGGAGATGCGGGACCGGGGAGAGAACCTGTACGTGGTGATGGAGGTGGTAGAGACGGTGGAGGAGGTCACTCTGGAGCGGGCCGGCAAGGCAGATGGCTGCTTCTCCCTCCCCTTCTTTGCCCCGCTGGGGTTACAGGTGTGGTTCAAACACATGCACGCTCACACACACACTTACACACTTACATGAGGAGGCTTCGTTGGGTTTGCACCATCAGTGCCCACACAGGTACTGAAGACACACTCCTTCCCCCTGCTGGCCAGACACACCTCCCTCTCTGGGCAGCGGCACCCAGTGCAGGCAGGTCCCTGTGCCAGTTGCCAGGGGAAACTTTTAGGGAAAGAGAAACTCCCACTCATGGGTTTTCTCCCAGGGTGTTCCCCCCCTAAAGAGGAGACATCCTTGCTCTCAGAAAGTTCTCAGGCTCATGGAGGAGACACATAGGTTAAAGTCCAGAGAACACAGGTTTGGAAGTAAGTAATGCTCTACAAATCTGTGTCTATGGGGTATAAATACTCAAGGGATGATTTGGGATTTGAAGCCAGATTACGGGGCAAGTATTAGGGGCCTTCCTGAGCAAGGTAAGTATGGGACAGAGGGCAAAGAGGAAGACGGAGCCAGGGCCTGGATGGAAGCCCTAAGAGGGGATGGGTGATGCACAGGCAGGTGAGGGAGCAGGCCTGCCCAGTTCCCTGCTGGTGTCTGAACCGGGAAGAGAGATACAGATCCTTAGAGAAATGATCAGGGACACCACTGAAGTTCCCAACTTCTCACCACCCCAAAGGCTCTCAGCCCTGACCCTGCACCTGCCCCCCTTGCCACTCCCAATGTCTCATACTTCAGATCTCTGGGGATTCACAGATCCTCATTGTCTGATCCTAGGGATCCGTAAACCACAAGGAGGCTTTAACCATCCCCAAGGGCTGCGTCCTGGCCTTTCGAGTGAGACAGCTGATGGTCAAAGGCAAAGATGAGTGGGGTGAGTAGAGACAAGATACTCACCGAAAACTGAGGCATCCTGTTCCCCTCTGTGGCGATGTCAGAGAATGAGCAAAAGAGTGTATTGTATTGTGGTCTGTCTGCCAGGGACAGAGTTACAGGGGCTACCCTGGGCGGAGGAGTGAAGGGGATCTGGGGTTCCTAACATCTCCCAGGTGTTAGTACAGTGGCTGTTGATGGGAAGGGTACAAAAAATGAACACCCACAGCCTTTGTTTTCATTTGTCTGTGGCGAAAGGTGGAAACAGACACAGACACTGGTACTAGAATGCAAGGTGGGTAAAGTGTTGCCATAGGAGAGAATTTACCCAGGAAGAAAAGATTGCTTCCAGCAATGGAGGCACAGCAGGGAATCAGAGGAGGCATTGGGGACAAGGTCCTCAACCTGGGCAAATCTCCTGGGCTTGAGACTGGGAAGGAAACGTGGAGCAGCTGTGAAGCATCCTCCTGTCTCCCTCTCTGGCCCCTCACAGACATCCCCCACATCTGTAATGATGACATGCAAACCTTCCCTCCTGGAGGTAAGTTAAATTGCTGTCTCCCCACTTCTTCTGCCCAACCCTGACATTATTTGCTAAAATCCTAACCCCCCAATTTACACCATAATCCCCCAAGAAGCCCCTGCTGCCGCTTCCCAAGTCTCAAAGAATGTCCATCCTCAACAGATAGAGACATATAAATACTGTCAGAGAGAGAGAGAGAGAAAGAGAGAGAAATGAAAAGACAGAGACCAGAAGGCACAATCGGAAGCAGAAATAAGACTTGGAGACAGTGTCTGTTCCCATCTGTGCAGGCGGATGAGCTGACATCATCTCCATGTGTTTTTGTGATGATCACTGATAGAGCTGCCTTGACAACAGCTTTAGATAAAAAGGCAAAAGTGGGTTTTATGCTGACAGATGTGCATTGTTTTCTGTCTTCAGAAAAGCCAGAAGAGAAGTTCATCCGTAAGTGTTGCCTTTCATTCTACTGCAACTTTCTTGACTCAGAATGTTAAAACTTCAGTCTTTTTCTTTCCTTCTCTGTGGGATCGACAGGGAAGATGGCAGAGCAGGTCTCAGCTAATAATTGTCCGGGAAACATGGCAGAAATTCCATTAGCTTGGGGAAAAGAGGCAGAAGGGGAAAGTCTCTGGACAAGATGTCCAGGTGGCCTGATGCCTCAGACCTTTGTCCTCAAGGGCCTCAGTTGCTGTAACCTGCTACACACACATCTGTGACTCTGCCGCCCAGCAACTGGGGCTGGAGCCACTGAGTCACAGTGATGTCAGGACCAAAAGCATCCCTAGGATAGCTGGGATCTCCCAGGAGACAGGACCTATTTCCTCATCCTCCTTGGTGTCTCATTCCCCGGGTATGGCTGTCACTGTGAAGGATTACATTCTTACCTGTTTTTGTTTTTTTCTTATTTTCTCAGTTATCCAGGCATCTGATGTTGGTAAGGAATTTTGGGAATTTCTCCCAAGACTTTGTCATGAAGGTGGCAGGAAAGGCATTAGGGTAGAGAGAGGGGAAGGGAAGGGCTGAGTCCCTGGTCCCAGGGAGCAGAGCCATTTCCAGGGAGCCACTCTCTCCAAAGCAGGCCAGACATATTCTTAGGATGCCTGGCCGCTAGAAGGCTAGGCTAAGGTTCACACTCTCCCAGGCCCATCCATATCCTTGGATGTAGAAGCTCTCTGAAACAGCCCCATCCTGGCCTCACTCAGCTGCCAAAGTCATTTTTCTTGGTCAACTAGTGAGAAGGAGAAACTGACCTTCTGTCTCAACTTTTAGCGAACATCTTTGAGAACAGGAAGTCAACTGTATACTGATATGGGATGAGGTCAGGGAAGGCTAACTGTTGGGTTAGAGGATTATAGGTCCTGGCCATCTCCTTGCCCCAGCCCTCCGGTAAGGACTGGGGATATGTTCAGAACCACTTTCCTTGGTAAAGAAAAAAGAGGCCAGGCCCTAGCTGGGGGCAGAGCACTCAGACCTGAACAGTGAATGAACCTGGCAGGGAGGGTGCCAGGTGGAGGGCTGTCTGCCACATTTACTGTCCCCATAGGAGGGGTACATGAAGGCTTCAAGACGCTAAAAGAAGAAGTTCAGAGAGAGACCCACGAAGTGGAAAAGCTGAACCGGGTGGGGCAGAGCTCCCTGCTCAGCTCCCTCACCAGACTTCTAGGGAAGAAAAAGGAGCTACAAGACCTTGAACTTGAGGTGAGGCCTCAGTGGGAGGTCGGGCGATGTGGGAGAAGACAGTGGGGGGGGGGAGCATTACAATTAGTGGTGGCATCTGACGGTGGCAGGACAGTCAGTAATGGAGACCTTCCCCGAGGCTGGCCAAGTGCCCCCAGATCGCCAGGCCACTATTTCTCCCTTTGTCCCCTAGAAAAGGACAAACAGTGCAGATTTCCCGCAGGCACATGGTCCCTGTGATGGACAGAGGGCAGACAGCAGGCCAGAAGGACTCTCAGCTGGAAGAGGCTACAACCTTCCCTTTTTAGAATCTAAAACTTAGGGACTGAGGAACCTATACTTTTCAGGACTTGATACCTCGAAAAAGAAATGGGGAAATGAGAGAAAGTTAGTGTGTGTCAAGGGATTGATATGCCAGGTACCACGGTGGACACTTTATCCATCTTATCTTCAGTAGTCACCTATCTTTTCTTTCCCACAGCTCGAAGGGGCTCTAGACAAGGGACATGAAGTGACACTGGAGGCACTCCCGAAAGACATTCTGCTATCAAAGGAGGTTATGGGTGCCATCCTCTACTTCCTTGGAGCACTAACAGGTAAGGGGGAAGAAATCTTCATGTATAGACCTTTTCAGTGACAGGAATGAATGACTTGAATGAGTTCCCAAATGAATGAATAAACAGATGCGTGCATGACAGGCAAAATATACCACAGTGAAGTAGTTTGTATTTACAGTTTTAAAAATTGGTTGCATTCCTAAGGATCCACTTGGTCACCTTGGCTGGTCTGGGAAGATTTGGAAATAGCTTTGGTTTTATCATCCACATATTTAAAACTTCTTCATAAGGTGGGGCATGGTGGCTCACTCCTGTAATGCCAGCACTTTGGGAGGCCATAGCTTCAGGATCACTTGAGGCCAGGAGTTTGAGGCTACAGTGAGCTATGTATGCAGCATTGCACTTCGGGCTAGGCAACAGAGTGAGATCCTGTTGCTAAAAAAAAAAAACAGTAGAAAAGCCAAAAAATATTTGCATACAGATAATTTCATCCTATCTATATAGATTAATAAATGTTAGCTTTAACTTCAGGAGTAAAATCTTCTGATCTTGTCTTCTATTCTTCCCTCTATATGAAACATTCCCCCTCTTGGAAGAGCTCTCAGATATAAACTGAAAGGAGACCCCTCAGCTGCAGCTCCCTTCACACCTGTATTGTAATTAGACATTACTTTATCTTCTCCACAAGACTGCAAGTTCCTTGAGTGAAGGGAGTATAATTTTTACCTAACACTTAGCAAAAGTGCCTGGCATGGAGCAGGCATTCAACCGGGAATGAATGAACAAACGAATGAATGCTGACATTCTGGATGTGCACTATTTGGAGTTTGTAATCCACTCTGTACCACCAACAACATACATCTCTCTCTCTGCTTTTTTTTTTTTCTGCAGAGCTAAGTGAAGCCCAGCAGAAACTGCTGGTAAAATCCGTAGAGAAGAAAATCCTACCTGTGCAGCTAAAGCTGGTGAGGAAAAAAGGCAGATCCTAGGGAGAGTTGGGGTTACCATGAGTGGAGAGATGCAGATATAGTTTAATGATAGAACAGTTTTAGAAGCCCCCTCCTGTCTTATCCCAGGAGCCCATGCCCACTTCTCTCCATGCAAGAGGTAGAGGCTGAATTTCTGGGATCTGGGCTTATCAGCCTGGTCTTGGGAGAGGAGACAGAAAACTCTGGCTATTCCTAGCCAAATAATGTGAGCAAAATGTTTAATGTATCAGAATCTGGCTCAATTATTCCTCTGTAAAATGGGGCTAAAAATAAATGTGCTGTTCACTGTACAGATCTGTTAAAAGACCCAGATGGAGTTATAATATAAGGTAAAATAAGGAGTTATAATAAGACGAATGTAGCCTTCTTGAGATTTTAATGAGTTAGGAGAGAGGAAGAGAGGTTTCCAGTGCTTTCTTTTCATGCTATTTTGATTCCTTCTAGGTGGAGAACACAATGGAACAGAATTTCCTCCAAGATAAAGAGGGTGTTTTTCCCCTGCAACCTGAGCTCCTCTCCTCCCTTGGGGAGGAAGAACTGACCCTCACTGAGGCCCTGGTGGGGCTGAGTGGCCTGGAAGTGCAAAGATCCGGCCCCCAGTATATGTGGGACCCAGACACCCTCCCTCGCCTCTGTGCCCTTTATGCTGGCCTCTCCCTCCTTCAGCTGCTGACCAAGGCATCCTAACTCGCCCTTTCCATCTGTGTGTTCGTGGTTTCCAAATATCTTCCCAACCTTATCATGCTGTGTCCTTAACACACAAGGGTATTTCAGGGCCATTAGTGTGAGAATGACTGAAATCCTAGCAGGTCACCAACCGATAACCAAGTTCCACCTGCCCAACTATGTATCTCTCCCTGTCCCTCCAGCCCCACAACCCACTAAGCCTATCTGCTGAGGTGTAAATCCTCTAGGAGTAGAAGCACTCATACTTTTAAAAACTGTAAGCCATTTCAGCAAAACTGAAAATAATTTCCTATCCTAATCCCTTCTACTTGTACTTCAAAAAAAAAAAAAGCTTCACTGGAATTGATGAAAAATATTATGTCAATCTTATGAAGAGGTGTCTTTTTGGTGTTTTTCTTTTTCTTTGAAGAATTTATCCTGAGGAAATTCCTAATTTTTGCCAGAAAAAGAAACTATCGTATTACGTATAGACCATATTGCACGACTATTACCCTATACCATCCTCAGGCTAGCTGGAAAATGCTCAGAGAACTTTGAAGATACAGAATGTGGGATCTAGATTCTAAAGTGAGATCATCAAAGCAGCTTGTCTTCAAAGAAGAGCATTTGATGGTCCTCTACCCTTGGGTTGTGGCAAAGATCTAGAGATATGTGTTAAAAACCCAAAACAAAAATAAGACACCTGGGGTGGCACTTGTGGCTCAGTGAGTAGGGTGTCAGCCCCATGTACTGAGGGTAGTGGGTTCGAACCCAGCCTGCCAAACTGCAACAAAAAATAGCCAGGTGTTGTGGTGGACGCCTGTAGTCCCAGCTACTTGGGAGGCTGAGGCAAGAGAATTGCTTAAGCCCAAGAGCTGGAGGTTGCTATGAGCTGTGATGCTACAGCACTCTACTGAGGGTGACAAAGTGAGACTCTGTCTCTTAAAAAAAAAAAAAAAACACCTTTCAGTATTGTTGAACAGACAGTACAGATATGTCTTTTAAAAAAGAGAGAGAGACCCAACAATAAGACTGACCCAAGACATTTAAAAATAAATTGTGCTAGCACTCTGGGAGGCAGAGGCAGGTGGATAGCATGAGTTCAAGACCAGCCTGAGCAAGAGTGTGACCCCATCTGTACTAAAAATAGAAAAAAACAGCTGGTTGTTGTGGCAGACACCTGTAGTCCCAGCTACTAGATAGGCTGAGGCAAAAGGATCACTTGAACCCAGGATTTCGAGGTTGCTGTGAGCTAGGCTGAGATGACAGAGTAAGAGTCTATCTCAAAAAATATATAAAAATGTGATATTGTCTTTTACCTTTTTATCTTCTGCCCTGAAATTCAGAGCAGTTGTGGGAAGAAGTGCTGTGGGTAGGCTTGGCATGTGGACCTGCTAATAAGTATACTGCAATTCCATCAAACTGCTGGGTTTGTATCAACTTTCTCTGCCTAAATCTGGGTCTGCACATCTTTCACCAATCTCTTTTAAAGTAGTTTTATAGGTGGCATAATTTCTCTAAGGCTTTTGGCCCTGAGAGTCAGACTCTGTTCCATCTTAGCCACCCCCCTGCCCAAGCTAGTTCTCTCATTCACCAAGAATTCATGACCAACTGCCAAAAGCTTTGTACAAATCCATCCTCCCCCTCCCTGGGCATCTTCCAAAGCCTCACTACATTGCTCATGGGTGTACTAAGTTGTTATCTGCTGACTTGTTTTTTTTCCTTGTGATGTAAACTTAATAGAGAGGTGAGCTAACATCCTAACTATCCAGAAGAGTAACTTCTTTGATTGTTAAAGATAAACAACAAAGCTTGTCTGTTTTCTTCCTTCCCATTCTTGCCCACCTTCAGTTACAGACACGATGTTATGAAGAAGCTCTAGTGAGTTTATTCCAGTGATGATTAAAAAGTCTTGTTATCCATCTCATGACTGGGGAGGAAGGGTAAGAGGACAGTTAAGGAGCAATTGGTCAAGGCATGTCCCCTAAAACTGGAGCCCATATATTTCCATTTAGCAAGTGGGTGTTTAATGGAAGGAACTATGTGCTACAACCATACGAAAAGGAGACTATGAAAACTATGTAGGCTACCATTTATATTAAAAGGAGGATATGAGGGATATCATATAGAGAGAGGTATGTATAGATATGTATAGTCAAAACACATTCCCTGCCCTCTAAGTCCTCATAACAGGGCCAGATTGCTTTATATGGCCCATCAAAAGTATAAAACTCAGGACTTCCATTTATAGGAGAGATAAACGTTCCAGGATAGGGAGAGAGTTTTTATTTTATGTCTGAATAAATTGGCTTCACCTACTCTAAAGAATCGGTAAGGGAGTCCTTTTAAATATAAGTGGGCAGAGTTTCCATCCAGTCCAGTTTTCCTTCCCCTTAGGTACACCATTATTCTCTTTCCCCATTTCAGAACAGTGTCTGCCTGGAGGTACCAAGGCGCCCTCAACCGTCATCACACATGAAAAGCAGGGTGTCTGGTTATCCACAGTCTGACTCCCTCGTAAACAACATTGTTGAGCCGAGTTTTTCACCTCCCAGGTGCAACCCGGGGCCGTACGTAGGGTAGACCCCTGTCTTTATTACATCGGAGTGATTTCTACAGAAATGCACCCTCCCCTCCATGGGCATTCCCAGGCTCCAGAAATGTTATGCCTTATTTACAGCCCTAAGCTAAAATCTGACAAGGAAATCTCGATCTCATAGGGTTTTTCCTACTCTCCAGCTCGGTTTATTAATTTAAGCCAAACAGCCACTAGCTTCACGTCCCTCCTTCGGAGCCTTCTTTCCTTCCCTCGTGCCGGATGCAGTGGGCGGCGGTTGAGCACCTGAAGCGCGGAAGGCTACCCAGTCCCGGCGCCGGCGCCAAATTCGCCCGGCAACTCATGACGTCATCCAGCCCCACTCTTGGATAGGTCGTACCAACTCCACCCGGTTGGGGTGCTCTTAAGTTCATTGTACACCAGGTTAGAGTCTGAGGGGACCTCTCGTGGACATCCGCAGAAATACACCCCAGAGGGACTTGAGAGAATATAAACACACTTAAGTACTCGAAAGTCTCACAAACCCAACCATACAGGCTCCTCCCCGCTTCTTCTTCGAAGACCCGCCTCCATCCTGTACCTCGGCTGTTGATTTATCTCCCCTTTGTCGATTCGGCCATCTGCCCGCCCGGCCTGGGGTTTCCCAGAAGGCCCAGCGCTGGGAAGGGGTTTGCAGCTGCTCCGTCATCGTGCGGCCCGACACTAGCCCGCGCTCGTGTGCAGGCCGGACTCGGTTCCTGGTCCCGGGTGCGAGAGTTCACGCGAGGCCCCGGCCTCGGTCCCCGGACTAGGCCGCGACCCCGGGCGCCATGAAGCAGGAGGGCTCGGCGCGGCGCCGCGGTATGGACAAGGGGAAGCCGCCGCCCGGCGGAGGGGAACAAGAACCACCAGGGACCCCGGCCCCCCAGGATGTGGAGATGAAAGAGGAGGCGGCAGCAGGTGGCGGGTCCACTGGGGAGGCAGACGGCAAGACGGCGGGGGCAGCGACTGAGCACTCCCAGAGAGAGCTGGACACCGTCACCTTGGAAGGTAGGGCAGCCCGGGCCGGGACGTGCCACGATCATGGATGACAGCAACCCTGGCGATTCGGCTTCTCCTTGGGACTCCAGCGCAGCCTTCTCCCTGCCTCCTCAGTTCCTTGGGATCATCCCAAGATGCCTACTACCCTGATACTCCCCACCCCAGCCCCAATGACTGAATGTTTCCAGGGTGGGAATTACTCCTCTCACATCCCCCCAACACCCCCATCTGGGGTTGTATGTAGATCTAGATCTTAACGGGGCCTGGGGACTCTTCTAAGCCCTGCTCTTTCTGAGCCTTCTCCTTGGTCTCCTCCATTTACATCCCGCTCCACTGATGCCAGCACCCCCAGTGTATGACTGATCCCTTTAAAAACCAGTATTTGTATTTATGTTTGTGAAGAGGGCAGGATGACACAGAGTAGTACTGGCACCTGAGTTTTAAGAGTGTACAAAAGGCTTCTGTGGTGTTAGCTTCCTTTAGTAGATTCCCTAAAAGAACCATTTGGACCCAGTATCTTGTTTCATAATTTATCTAACTGAAATGCCCAAACGATCCCATTGCTCTTTTCCTCTTCCTCAGATCCCTATTCCTACTCTGTTTCTAGAGAGTTTAACCACATATGCACTTAAAACTTTTTAGTGTCATCTCTGAGTTCATAATATTCACCTTTAGATTAAACTCCTATATACCAGTTTCCTATAGTTATCTTGTTCCTCCAGGGGCATGTGTTTTACTTTTCCCACTTAGAGCATCCTGGCTACATTTGAAGTGAGTAAAGTGAGAACTTCCCACCGTGATCCTGGTGCTGTTTTCCTGGTCCTGGAGTGAATGGGACCAGATTACTTTACTGGGTTTTAATTTTACTTAACTGCATGAGAAACTAGCTCAAGAACATTAAGATAAGCAAAGTTATGCTCCTAGGTGGTGCTTTGGAGGATGTGATAGTGTTGCCTACCTCAGCTGGTACTGAACAACAGGATCAGTATCTAATAGAGATCCTTTTGCCTAAGACAATGATAGCTAGTGGCAAAGGTGCCACACACCATTACCTACTGGATATATTTATTACAAACACTTCATTTTCTTGTTATAAAGTAATTCATGTTCATGGTAGCAAGTTTGGAAAGTATGAGAAGTCAAAAGTCGCAGGGGAAAAAATCATGGTTAATATTTGTTGATATGAATATTTGAATTGCTCTCCTGTAATTTATAGAGTTTGTAGCAAAGCATTCCTAAATGCAGATGATTTTGAATTTCATGTGTTTTCATTTAACATATCCATAAACATAATGGCATTCAATTTACTCCAGAAACATTTATTGAATATCTAATATAGTAGTTAAGAGTACAGGCCCTGGAATTAGTTTCCTCATCCATATGAATGAGGGTAATAATACCTACTTTATTGGGTTGTTGTGAACATTAAAATACTCAGAACTGGCTCAGCGCCCATAGCTCAGTGGTTAAGGGTGCTGGCCACATATACAGGAGCTGGCAGGTTCAAACCTGACCCAGGCCTGCTAAACAACGACAGCAACAACAACAAAAAAATAGCCAGGCGTTGTGATAGGC